CACATACAGCATAGGGGCATTGTGACTGTATTTCTTTGTTCAAGAATGCCAGATCAAATGTGGAAAATTAATATATATATTACCAATCAAGGATACATTGTAAATACCTTAGAAATAACATTTTTCCCTTTGGGTATCCCTCAAATGGCCCCTTTTTTAGCTCAAATTTTTAAAAGCTCCGCACCACAGAAGGAGAGCCCATCGACAGACGGCCAGTACCACTATGCTAAAATTACATCCTAGCTAGAACCCTGTTAGTGTTTGGTACACACACACATTCTTACTTACATTCCCTATTGCAAAAATGAGCCAGATGAGCACCACCAGTCCAAAGTCGAAGACCAGGAAGAGACAAAATGTCCGTCGAACTGTGGATATTTTCCCGCGGTCGAAGTCAGGATCGTTTGATACCAGGCTATTCTGCATGGAGCTCGTCCTCTCCAGGGACTCTGCGTAGTTGTGGTTATAGACGGGAGGTCCACCATTGTACAGAACACTGGCTGCCTGCTGGGCCTCTACCTGCCGAGTGGTGTGACGATCCATGTCATCTGGGCTCTGCAAAGGTAATAAAGTAAATCAGTCAACCTCAATTATTAGGTGCAAAGCTGCATTAGACTAGCAGCATAATAAGAATACTTGAAAAAGCATTGTGATTTGAACACCTTTTTAAAGGTGTTCAAATGCATTTTTTTTTCTATGTCAGCTCTCACTCAGCATTAGCAGCAGGACTGCCTAGACAGAATGCTGTCAGAGTTTTGCACTGAGGAAAGAATTAACTTCACGTTTGAATCTTTGTCTGTCCCTGATCTTAGCTATCTCCCTTGGAAGACTGTTCCAGAGCCTAACAGTTGTAGGTACAAAAGTTCTCATATGACTGTTGGTGTGGGAGACAGGGACCACCAGAGTGTTTTTGTGATGGGATTTTGACTGGCGTGTCACCCGCCGCACCTCTTTGTGTTTAGGAACAAGGTCGTTTAGCAGGGCTGGTGCCTCTCTGTGATACATGCGGTGGAAGAGAGTCAATGCACCAACTTTCCTGCGGTGGTCCAAAGGTTGGATGCGCGCCTTGGACAGACCAGCTGGGGACAGTTTCATGATTTTCAGGGCTCTCCTTTGTATAGAGGCAACTTCGAGGCGGCCGGCCGCCAGGAGCGCAATTAGTCAGGCTATTTCCCAACCTACCCTAGAAAAACCTGCCGACCCTACACTTTTTTTGGGGTGTACCCCTGCAATGGACATATAAACAACGAGCCGTAATCAACCTTTTCTATCCTCCATAATATGACACCTGAGTGATAAAATGTTAGTTATATATACAATTAGTTTTCTAACATTGACATTGAAAATAAAAGTGCCCTCATGCAAGTTTTACTTTGTTAAACTGTATTGTATAAGTTGGTACCCTATATAAGTCTGAAAAAAAAGATTATCCCTATATATAGCTACCTACTGACCCTAATTTTTTCAGGACTGAAACAGGAAATATAACTTTTTCCTTAAGGCCTTGTATTACTAAAACTTATACTGTTATAGTATATGTATGTACAGCATTGTTTCAATGGCATATTTAAAATGCTGTGAAAGCCTCTCTTTCCCTCCTACTATGTAATAGAACCATTGCAAAAGTTTCACAACTTGTAGTTCTACACTAAACACACATGAATGCTGTAGGGACCACATGAATGAATGAATGAATGGACGGATGGATGAATGAAGACCCTTATATTGTACATACCCCCTAGGGTAAGTACAGGTCACAACAAATAGATACTATTTGATGACCCAGGTTTAATCCCACTATCTTAATTAAATTAAATCTTGTCTGCTAGACTTAGCTGGAGTAGATGACCTGTAGGTCACCCATCAAGGTCACCTAACCTTAAAAATGTTCAAGTTCTACACAACTAGTTTTGCTTGGAAACTTCTCCATAACAATTGCTTATACAATGTATCATAACATAGAAACCACCTAGGTCCACAGCAGCTACATGGTAAGAGTACTAAGACCATATTTCATGACATGAACAAATATATGTAGTTGTTTTTCACAGTTTCACCTAGCTCAGAACATTACAAATACAAGGCCATAACCTTCTCAGAAACACTTTTTTTCTGTCTTAAATTTTACAAACAAAGGCAACATATTACCACATTGGTCACCAAGTTCCTAGAACGGGAAAACCAGGACTTGACATTAGAAGAAATCCAACTCAAATTTAGAACTGGCATCTCCTAAAACGTGCACAGAAAAAGGGGAAGTTTTTCTGGGTGGGACAAAATGGTGGGCCAGCAGTTTGGCTGGATCATGTGATCATGACTGGTGGACTTTGTCCTGTAACGAGTTTACATTGTGAGCTACTGATTGGACAACCTTAGGTAAGGACAGGTGTCAGAGTCCAACAGGTGGGCATAGCATTAACATAATAAATGCAGAGTGAAGTATTATGGGCTTCTAAAGTATTATGGAGCAAGGCAGTTAATAGAATGTTCTAACATTATAATTATAATATCACATTTTAAAGCCTAATTATCATCACATTATTAAAGTTTTGCAGATTCTTCGACAATTTTAATGAACACAATAATTGACAGATTTCAAAAGTTAAAAGTTTCAGATGATTTATAAATTGTATTACAAACATTATACGTATAACATTAATGCATTAAATTATGAAAATGCCAGAAAAATAACATAATGATGCCAGTTCAGGTACATTATATATGTTGCCTGTTTCGCAAAACAATGTTTAACATTAAGTTAATATTGGAGGGGGGGGGGGGGCTTTCACCCAACTGCCAGCTGTGTAATTTCCAACCTTTTCAACCCCCCATTATTTTTTGGAATGGCTCATATCTAAATGTAACGTTACATCACATGATCTATGAGTACAAGGTCACACTTCTGGTCTCTTCTGCACTTGGCTCACAACCATGTGACTTTGCTGAAGTGCACAAAGGTCATATAATCGAACCTACCATACAACTTCAAATTGACAACATGTAAACATCATTGGTATGCAACAACATCATTTTCACATGTCAAAAACTTCCTTCTAATTCTATACTCCTGTCTCTACAAAAAACACCAAAAACTCCACAACAAAACTCCAAAACATACCGTATTGATGGACATGACGACTGTGGAGTTCATCTAAGCACAGGTGAAAGTAGAAAAGAGGAAATAGAAAGAAGATTTCAGCGCCGCAATGAACAAATAGAAACCGGACTGTCAGCCATATTGTCTACAATATCGTACGATCAGGTGATCATTGCTGTTCAACACAAAATATATCTCATGCCATTCAAAAGTCTTCTAACAATATGTATCAGTTTATGTATTCCTTAATTGACAGCCAACAAAAAATGTCATCAATAAATATAAATTTGTTAGTTACTAATTTAGAAAGAGGTAGTTGTGAATAGTTGTGTAGAATATACATTTATCAGTTGTAGTTTTTTCAGGCAAATATTTTAAAAGGGTTGAACAGCTATGTATCCCACAGTGCATAGCTATGAAGTGAAAGCAGGACTTCCGGATTACGTGTTGTTGAAAGTGTGTCGCAAGAAAAAAGCTCCAAAATCCGGATTTTATAAAATTTTAGTGTTTGTCTGCGGTTCTGGACGGGACGAGGGCATCATGAGGTGGCATCCAGGCCCCATCCCTGCAGCTATCGGCGAGGCGAAGCAGAAAAACGCCGTTTTCGTCATCTACGTCGAAGGTTATTTTTGTTTCCTTGTGCCGTGGGGAGGGGGGCGTTGAATATTTTTCAACGTGTACATATCATATCTATTATCATATTAATGTATGGTAACGGGAGGGGTCCGACCTATGTTCCATGCAAACGCACATACATGGTAATAGTTTATCTGACCAAAAACCCGCGCAACATGAGCTATATTATTGACAGATAAAGATAACAACAAAATTTTAAACTAAAAGCTTCACAGCTGTTTTTTCACTTCAGTGCAGCGCCTTGCACACATTATGCTACCCCTTCAAATTCCTCAACCTCCTCTGTTTAGACAAACAAACCCACAAACCCACAGCTTGGCCGCCCCAAACGATACATGAGGGCATGCATGCCCTTTTTCGTAAGGCGTAATCATGCCTTTTTAGCCTTCGTAATGCGTAAGCAGCTGTCCAAAATCAACATAATTCGTAATCAGTACATTAGCCGTTACGGTAACGCATAATTGGTCAATTTTATTCTACATAAAGCGTAGACAGGTACTCTCATCTGCCAAATAAACATACGGGTACGTTTATTTTTTGGGGCCCGAACATCCACCCAGTACGTTCTTATTTTGCACAGTACGTTTATTAATTTTTTGAAAATCAGTAATTTTTTTCAACTTCGTGTGAAAAATTTAAGAAAAACGTTGTCTCCATTACAAACCCCTTCATGGCTTGCCTGCTTTTTTATTTCAGCCACCTACTCTAAATTTTTGTGAGAAGGCTGTGAAGTAAAAGGATGTGTTGTTGTTTTCTGCTTCAGGAGAAGATGACATGTCAAAATCGATGACAGAAACCTGGGAAGATGCGGAGGTTGAGAGGGTATGTCAGGAGGCTGGATTCATCGGCATGAAACTCACAGCAAACAGGTAAGTCTTTTTAACCTACCTGGAATGCTTTCACTGTAGGTATTTTTAGGCCCCGTTCATGATTAAAAATCTGTTGCAAATTGATTCACATTGAAAAATATTTCGAATTCTTTTTAAGCATGAAAGGTTCCGTTGCGATTCATTTTGAACTACCTCGCGAGGTGGTCTAAAGCAATACATAGTGTTTCGCGTTAGTCAAATTTCGCCTTACGAGCCGGGTTCCCAGGAAGTGTTTAAAGAAATTGTGTTAACTTATACATATAAAACGCAAGTCAAATCGAGTTGTGAAACCGTTTCCACTATGGGTGCAGGCTTTGAATGGCGGACGCAAAATGTTTTCCGTATCAATTCGGAACGTGTCCATACCGAAATACGTTTTGAATCATGAACGGGGCCTTACTCATACTTTAAAATTATGAAATCATGATAGGAGTTAAGTATGATTCATGTCAGTTTCACCAAAAGTCTTTAGATTATTCTATTTGAAAGAAAATAGTAAAAAAAAAAGAAATGTGTGGAATCTGACTTATATTTGTCTATCACATATTGCTGAAAGTATCATGAGCTGTCTGTAATCTAATTGAATGCAACAGGACTTAAAAATGTACTAGTAAAGCTAAGGTCCCAATTGGGAAAAGGGGCCCTGGCGGGTAGTTCCCGGGCTGTTTTTTACCACTTTCGGGCGGGACCCCGACGTGGCCCCGCGGGGCACCCTGCGGCTACCGGGCTGTTTTTTGGCCCGTCGGGGCCCCGATAAGAATTTAATTCTGAGTTAAATTCTACCCGGGCCCCGCTGACAAAAAGACGCCGTGACCTCATCGTGAGAACACCGAGAGGTACCCCTCCGGTTGCCGGCATTCCACCGGGACACATTTCTTACGTCACAGACCAGATGAACAGAATAAAGGTGTGTACTTCGTAAACCCGGGTAAAATGGGTGACCTCACAGATCAAATGATCACAACAAATACGTGAATTCTGCATTACGTATAGGTCAATACAAGACATCGTCAGAGAATCTGCCGGGTACCTGCCGGGTGCCTGCCTGATACCGACCAAAGAGGGTGACAAAATTTCTAACAAAATGCTACTGAAGGAAACTTTTAATTGTGACCACGACAGCCGATGCCCGCTCGACTCCTGAACCCGGCCGGGGCCAGCCGGGGCTACATCCCCGACGGGCACCGGCGTAATTGGGACCTTAGCTTAAGTATTCAACTATGGCGTATATTTCTCAATGCATTTATTCCCTATTTGCTTTCTTACAGTGAGGCATGTGTGCAGTTTTCCCAGATTTGTATCCTTTAAGTTCATACCTGGGCAAATCTATCTTAGAATAGATTAAGGCCACAGCAAGTAATTTTTATGGATGGCATCAGCACGCGCATTAATTTTTGCCTGATTTTGGAAAAAAAACACAAGAAATTTTGTTGCCTTCTGACTGTGGTCAACATGCCGAAAATGGACAAAGATATCTGTTGCCATGCCGGAAGGTGGATGGCAGATAACTATGAAGAGAGGAAACAAGAAAAGGCTCTGATTTAATGTTTTGTTTCTTACTTTGATGCAGTGATATGTGATGCTGACTGTGTATATGTGATGTTCCCACTGAATCAAAACCATTTGTACAATGATTGAATCAAAATTTTGAATTCGAAGGAACCTTGTTTTTTTCGGCCTGCCTTGTTTTTTTTTCACCCGCTCGCATTAGATTTGCAGTCTGCAGAGGATGTCATCCATAAAATTTACTTGCTGTGGCCTAATGTTGTCTCCTAGTATAAGATAGACTATTTGTGAAAATTATTATTGTGGACTAACTATAGTTTTCTATCTATTTTGGTCATCTAAATTTTTTTTTGACATAACATAATGTCGAGCACCAAAAAGACACCCCAACATTATCCCATTGAGAGAACGTTAACAGAGGCACCCCAGATCCTGTAGTCTGCATCCCTTCCACATTTTTCATCGGAGACAACGGAGTTCCCCTGGAGGTGGTGGGAGGTAGTCTGCCTGTCAATCAATTCTTGGAGAGGATTCAGAAGGTTAACCAGGTTTGTTTCTCTCTTACTAGCACTTCTTATTATATATATCTTGTTTTGTTTTGTTTTGTTGTGACCTGTACTTAGTGTGGCAGAAATGTGCAGTAAAAGTCTTCATTCATTATTAGACACTTAGAAACTGTATAAAGGTAGAATAAAGAAAGAGGTATTCAGTCATCTCATGTCTACCAGTAATGACCATACAATAGAAAAACTATGTGAATTTATCTCCAATTGCTTTGAAAAGAGAGAAGAAATCTTCAAGGCCTAGATTAGTTTATTCTCTAGTAGTTGTCTTAAAAGACTTTTACGTTATTCTGTTATCCTTGTATCCTATGTATCATGTTACTCAGTATGATGTACATGTAACATCACACTCTGATGTATGCATTTAGCCCCATGGGCATGAACATGCAAATACTAGTAAAGATTCATTCAGTTATTGGGCCATCTTCATAATCCTGCTCTTTTTACACAAGACAAAAAGTAGGTCCAAATTTTGAAGAAGAGCTTCATTGTAGATGTACTTCCGGACAGAGTTTTCCTGTAATGGGGCAATCTTAGAATTCCCTACATCCTTACAGCCTCCGATGCTTGCTCGAAATTAATTTTTGGGAGTAGGTGCACTGGTTCCCCCCAACCTAAAAAATTATTTTCTGACACTTAGATGCCTCAGGCTGAACAATATCCTGCATAGTATTATACAGTTGATATGTACAAAAATACACAAGTGCACCCACAGAAAAAATTGGGTGCACAGCTCCAATTTTGGGTGCACTAAGGTGCACGTGCACCCATTATTTCCAGCCCTGTTATACACGTATCAATATTTTATGAATGATTATCGACATCTGTCCTGTACTTAGCCCAGTGAAGCAAAATATGTCTAGTAATTATAAGTTTTGAATTCATTTATGTATCCGTTTATTCTTTTTTCCTTTGTTACTGGAACAGCTCCACCAGAACAAAGACCAGGTGGCCTCCCCTGCACCTGTAGCCGAGACCCCCCCACAGCCACAGGAACCCCCCACCCCCTCCCAGGTAGAGGTAAACTCCCCCGTGGGGGGTGGGGACACTGAGACTGTCACGGACAAAACAGAAGAAACTACTTCAGGAGACGTGGAGAAAAAAGAAGAAAAGGTGGAAGAAAATACTGCTGTTGCCACAGGTAATATTTTGTTTGGCTCTATGTTTTCCTTTGGTTCTTGTATCATGCATAAAATTATGCCTGTTTATCAGTAATATTTTTGTTCAGTCTTCGAAGATCTGTTTTTTGCCTTCCTGCTATCAAGCATTCCATTTCTCCTTGCAATTTTTTTTGGTTGAAGATGGCTTTTTTTAATATAGACACCAGTGATTACCAGTGTTTAAGCTGCTGATGCTGCTTTTTTTATTGTTTTTACTTTCAAACAGGCACTGTTGTTGAGGACGGCCCAGCAAAACCATCACCCTCCTCAGTAGCAGCAGCAGCAGCAGCAGTCGTCTCATCAGAAGAAGAAAAACAGCAGAAGTTAGAGAGGTGTGTTAAACACTGTCAGGATATACATGGTAGTGATCAGTGTGATATCACAACTCTACCAATAGACCCGTTCAACTTTCATGGATCGCATTAACTGCTTTCGTCACAGGGGGGACATTTCGACTAGAGACCACGTCACACGGGGGACATTTCGAAAGTTCCTTTCACGGATCGCATAAACTGCATACATCACAGAACAAAACAACCTTAAATTGTTGTACAGAATGCCACCATACAAAGTTGGTGCCTGTTTTCCTGTCATTTCCGCATATATTACCAAGAAAATAGACACACCTAACTTTTACTTAGTAAAAAAAATTATATGCCAGGAGAGACACCGCGGGCGCAAGCCACTTCAGCGTTCTAGAACGACGTTCTTTCGAAATGTCCCCCCTGTGACGTAGCAGTTTATGCGATCCATGAAAGTCGAATGGGTCTATTGGTGTCTGCCTTGATTGAAATCATCACAATATTCAAGAACCACCAAAATACAATTATTTATAGTATCTCACTCATGTAACATTTAATTTGTATACCAATTGTTTTGGCTGCCATGTGAATCATTATGCTATGATCTTACATGCTTAGTTTGGACAAGTCTTCAGATACAGACACTACTGACAGAGTGGAAAGGTTGGTACAGATTATTTAGGGAGGGTTGGATCATGGTAGCCTGGGTTCCAGACCCATAGCACACTGGACACAAATATCTCAGTGAGCCTGGGTCTGGTAGGGTCAGATAGACCTGCCACTCGAACGCTCAGTATCTGAGCGTAAGGCCCCATTGGTGGCACAGCAGGAAGCAATTCTACACCTCTGCTATGATTGGTTAAAAACTCCCAGCTGGATCTTTGAATCTTCAACAGTGGCCACCAGCAGATGAGATAAAACTGTAGATAAGATGTATTTTGTCCTGGTGTGTTAGAGGACTGTTTACCTAAACAAACAGGAAAGCCTGGGCTGTACACTACTTCTACTATTAGACTAAGTTCTGCTGTTATTTTGTAAAATAAACTCCAAAAACATTTAGAAAATTGACTGGTTAATGATTAACTGTTGAGCCCAAGATTGTCTCCTGCTGACCAATGGTGGTACCATGTAACAGGCTACCTGTGGTGTGAGGGGTCATCAATCACAGCTTCTCCTCCCTATGCTCGAGAGCCTTTCCTAAGAGACCCTGCCAGACCCTTGCACACTGAGATATTTTGTGTCCAGTGTGCTTTGGGTCTGGCATCCAGGCTAGGATCATGGTGAAGTGAAAAAATATTCATGATAAATGTCAGCAAGTGTATTTCATACTTCTTCATAGTAACTAAACATAAATCTTGGTAGCATCTTCATAATTGTATTTCATATCCATGCAGTTTTATTTTATTTGAGCATTAACGAGACTCTTTCCACAACAGGGCTAAGAGACTGATTGAGGAAAGAAGAGAAGCGAAGAGACTAGAGGAAATTGAGGTACATCCTCTTATACCTTTGTGTAATTTGATAAGGTATGAAATAAAAGCTAAGAGGACTTTTCTATATTGGCATCCATCATACTTTTTTTTTTAACCGAATTTAACGTCATTTTTCCCCAAACGGGGGTTAGACGTGCTTGCACCAGGTACAAGTCTTTTTTGAAGCAAGATTTTTACGACTGGATGCTCTTCCTAACGACAACCCAAACCTTAGAAATGCGTGTTAAGTGCCTTTCCCAAGGGCACAATGTCTGGGTGCAAGTCTGGACATGTCTGGGTCCAACCCTGGGGATTGAACCTGGGTCTTCTTGCTTGACAGTCGGACGCTCTATCCACTACACCACACAGACGCCACAACTTGTTAAGTTGTTTTTGTTTCGCGTAGGTATGAGGCTTGAAATAGCATGGCTTTCTGATTGGCTTAGAACTGACCAATCATGTTGCAAAATGCCTGATAGCAGATCAATCACAACCATCACATCACATTGCAGAATAAGCCAATCGTATTGGACCATTTACTAAGGGTAGGCCAATCATATTGCATGATTTACTAAGAATAGACCAATCATATTGCATTGTTGTTCAAAAGTGGCCAATCATATTGCCTGACAATATTCCAACCATATTGCACAAGTACTCTGCACTGTGGCAAAAATGCTTTTTCTATTTTGTAGGAAGCGAAAAGGAAGGAACAAGAGAGGCGGCGTCAGGGTCAGGAGATGGTGAAGGCCAAACAGTCCACACAGGAGAGACAGGCCAGGGCCAGGGCAGAGGAGCTGAGAAAAGTAAGACACATTGCCATTCCTGTTACTTTTGTAAGAAGTCATTTTAGGAACTGGCAGATAGAAATTTGTATATCCAACAAGATTTTAAACTTCCAAGAAGTATTTTGGGGTTTCATGACCTTCAAGTTCACCCCTTTTTCTGTGTCTATCCCACTGCCTGTAAATTTTCACCCACCCATGTGCTGTCTAGACAAATTAACACAAAAACCCAAAGCTCTGTCACCCAAAACAAGACTTATATACCAGCATTTACATGTATATGTAATGATGATTCATTTGAATGGTACATTTTTGTATTAGGCAAAAGAAGAGGAGAGACTGGCCAGGGAGAGGGTACGGGAACAGATAGCCAGGGACCGAGAGGAGCGGGCCGCTCGGTACAAACAGGAAAAGGAGGAGAGGGAACAGGCCCAACTGGTCAGGGAACAGGAGAAGGCTGCAGAGGAAGCCACCAGACAAGCTGCTAGAAGGTACTGACTGGTATTTTCTTTGACAGATCTTGGAGGTAGATACTTAGTAGTACCTGTGTCTGTCTGTGTGTGTGTGTGTGTTTGTGTGTGTGTGGATAGAGTTCAGCATGAAAAACATGCATATTGTGTGTATTTGGATAGCGTTCAGCACTAAGGACAGGCATATTGTATGTGTGTTTGCTTGTTTGTGTGTGTGTTTGTGTATGAGTTTGTGTGTGTGTGTGTGTGTTTGTGTGTGTGTGTGTGTGTGTGTGTGTGCGTGCGTGTGTGTTTGGGGGTATTGTTCAGCACCAAGGACAGGCATGTTGAGTTTGTGCGTGTGTGTGTGTGTGGATAGTGTTCAGCACCAAGGACAGGCATGTTGAGTTTGTGTGTGTTTGTGTGTGTAGATAGTGTTCAGCACCAAGGACAGGAATTTCTAGTTTGCATTTGTAGATAGTGTTCAGCACCAAGGACAGGCATGTTGAGTTTATGTGTGTGTGTGTTTGTGTGTAGCGAGTGTTCAGCACTAAGGACAGGTATGTTCATGTTTATATACCTTTCCCACCAGTGAATTTGCCAGACTGCAGTTCCGTCTGCCTGACGGCTCGTCGGTCACCAACACCTTTGCCTCCAGCGACAGTCTGGAGACTGCACGACAGTTTGTAGCCGAGGTGGGGATAAAAGCAAACTTTTTTATTTTCTTTAGATATTGGTAAGGCCACGCCAATTGAATTTGTTGTCGCTCGGATTCGCCCTTTCCATTTTTTTCTGATTTGCCCCCCCAAAAAAATTTATAGGTTCTAAATCAACTGCAAAATGCACAATAAAAGACATATTTTGGCTCAAATGGTTGAAGAAAGTCCTCTTCTTCCTTGTTGTTAAAGTTTTTCAATGTAACAATGCAACTTTGTTTCATTTTAAGTTCAAAATATATTGTTTTATTATAAACCAGCCTGGTATGTTCACTTCATAGCTCATATTGTACCATTTCCGACTATCACAGGGTTCCTTGGCCTGTTTTTTTTAATTTTTTTTATTTCGCCCTGTCGCTTCATACTTTTTCTGAAAAAATCCAAGAAGCAAGAAATTAAATTGGTGTGGCCTAATTCTGGTTTCCCTGTTACAGCTCTTTTTTAGTTTAGCATCATATTTATGAGAATTCTGTGTTATTTGTAAAACTTAGCCACAATGTTTTAAAAGTCTTTTCCAGGTTTTACCTCCTCCATTGTGTAAGATAGTACTGTCAGTTAATATAACTGCTGTTTATTTGTTCTTTTAGCAACTTCAGTTGCAGAATTTCGCCATGGCGACCATGTTTCCACGCCGACAGTTTACAGACTCCGACATGGCGTCCAGCCTGATGGACCTGGGCCTGGCTCCCAGCGCTGCTCTGGTGGTTCTACCTGTAAGTAAAAAAAACAATTTTTACTATTTATGACTGTATAGTACTTTGGCAGAATGTCCCGTATAAGGTTGTATTCGCGCATATAAGATCAACACTTCGTCTGTAGTTGCTAAATGTTATGTTGAAAAAGATATCCTCTGCAACAGGCAAAATTCTGATGCAACATTGACCAAAAATCCAACGAAAACCGTGAAAAAACAGGGTTCTGCGCAGGCGCAGTAAGTTCTACCAACGACCATACACGTGCTTGACTGTATATACAAATGTATGGCCAGACGAATTTAATTTGTTGTTTCTCGGATTTGCCCTGTGCATTTTTTTCTGATTTGCAAAAAAAAAATTTTTTTGTTCTAAATCAACTGCAAAATGCTCAATGAAAGACAAATTTTGGCCCAATGGTTGAAGAAAGTCCTTTTCGTCCTAGTTGTTAAAGTTTTTCAATGTAACAATGCAACTTTGTTTCATTAAAAGTTCAAAATCTATTAGTTTAATTATAAACCAGCCTGGTATGTTCACTTCATGGCTCATATTGTAACATTTCCGGCTATCATGGGGTGCCTTGGCCTGTTGTTTTTTTTTCGCCGTCGCTTCATATTTTTCTGAAAAAGTCTGAGAAACAAATTAATTTGGTGTGGCCTTATGACTGTATATGTAAATGTAATGCTTCTGTGTTAAGTTGGCATTTTTGACAAGTCTTGTTATAATGTTTTTTTTCTGTTTTCTTCTGTTTCTGTCCATGTATATGTATGTGTGTGTGTTATCCAGTCCAAGTCTCTGAAGGAAAATGTTGCACTGTCCTCAAATGGCCCTTCTGAAGCTGTTGCCTTTCAGGTCTGCTTTTTCTGTGTTTTTTTTCCATACTTTACTGCATTTTGAAATTCAATGTACTAGTATCAAGAAAAATTCATTTTATGTGGAAGTGTTTAAAGGTATCCAGTGCAGTTTGTAGGCCTTCGAAACCTGATTTTTCAAAGTCAATATTCTAGTCATTTATCTACTATCTACATACTGAGTTGAAACCACACTATCCCAGAGTGTATTCTGACAGAAAATGGTTACTGAAAGGGCCCTAGACTGATTTTTAGGGTACCACCCAGAAAATAAAGAACTCATCTTGGCGCTTGTTTCTGCAGTTTTAAATGCCCAAAGTATGAAATGCTGATTCAAATGTGCTAACTTGTGATATGTTGTGTCAATATCAGAAAGATTGCCCTATTCAGAATATTTTCAGTTTTGCTGCCCCAAAATCGCATTGGATGCCTTTAAGACTGATATATTTTTTATTCGCAACAGTAATTGTATTTCCTGTATTTACTACCATACTTTCCTCTCTGTTACTCTGTGTGCAACACTGTTGCTTCGCTTGCTCTAAAATGTCATATTATTGAATAAATGAACATTTGTCCTCTTCTACAGTATCCTTGTATACTAATAGAAATTTCAACAGTAACAGATTTAAACATCTCTGTCGATTTTAAGCATTTTCTTACATTGCAATTAAGAATAGCTGCGAACATGAAAATCTAAATCTCTCACAAAACCCTTCCGCGGAAGGATGTCTCCTCCCCCGGAGGTAAAAATGAGTTGGTTTCACTATTCAACAGACCAACAAAACACTTCCATTTCTGTCATGGCCAAAGACACTCCGATGTTCATCACACAAGGCTCCGTCTTAACTTCAGTCAGTTAAACTACCGTCTTTTTCAACATTATTGTATTGACTACCCTACATGTAAATGTGGCTATCATAGTGAAACAACTGAACACTACTTTCTACATTGTAAACTGTATTCCAGTCAAAGAAGTACTCTGTTATCATCTCTCTCCAACATAGTAGAGCTACAGCATCTCAATGACAGTTCCCTATGTTCCTTACTACTTCAAGGGTCCACATCACTCTCACACCTACAAAACTGTAATGTTTTTGATGTAGTTCAAAACTTCATTTACTGATAGATCACCAACTTGTCTTGTTTGTATTTATCTTGGTTTTATCCATCTTCTAATTATGCATGTATCTTGTCAATGTGTTTTATACTCGTATGTTTTTGAGTAGGTGTTATATAAGCAACTTTTGCTTTTTGCACAATACTCAATAAATATATGTGAATAAATAAAAAAAACGTAGGTTGAGATATCAGGCCACACCAAGTAAATTTTATGCATGACGTCCTTTGGAGACCCTAAATCTAATGCGAGAGGGCGAAAAAAAAACAAGAAGGGCCCTAAAAACAAGAGGCCTAGATCAGAAATATACTAAGAGACGACAAATGTTAGGACACAAATTGAATGAGGTGACACAGTGTAACAAGCAAGAAGTCTTTTATTCATCATCAAAACAGCAATAAATCAGGTGGAACAGCAGTTGTCGTCCTGTCCTGTTTTCACGTTACGGGTTTCACGTCAATCTGACGATTTGCGGCACTGTCGTGACTCTTTGGTCATAGTTACAGGAAGCGGAATTTCTTGTTTTTTTTTCTAGGAACAGGCCAAAATCAATGCGCGCGCGGACGTCATCCATAAAATTTACTTGGTGTTGCCTTACACGGTTTGATGTTTTTGTTCTAGGCTAGATCGGGAGGTTCTATGGTTGCGTCTGGAGGGTCGGGAGGTCTGATGGACCTGGTGTGGCTGATTCTCAGTCCTCTGGCAGCCCTGTGGAGGTTTCTACAGACTTTCCTGTTCGGTACACCTCAGAACCCCAGCAGACCACCCCCACCTACACAAGAACAGGCCACATTCTCTAACTCACCAACAGGGTAAGCTAAGGGCTAGGGCTGCATACTATACCTAAAAATAAGAAAGACAAACTGGAAAGGCTACAGAATCAAGCTGCAAGATTTTGTATGAACAACTATCATAATGGAAGAGGTGCTAGTGTCACGGAAATGAAAAGAAACCTTCAGTGGGTGTCACTGGAAGACGGAAGAAAAATGTCCAGACTATGCATGATGTACAAAATGACTAATAAACTGGTGGATGTCCCAACTACTAAGTACCTAATACCAGCTCAGAAGAGAACAAGAAATAGGCATACCTTCAAGTACCAGAGTTATCAACCAAGGATTGAGGTGTTCAAGAATTCATTCTTTCCTAGAAGTATCGCAGAGTGGAACTCACTGTCACCAAGTACAGTAGGGGCATTTTCATTAGATAGCTTTAAACAATGTCTAGAGTTAGAAGTTCAAGGGTTAGGTGTAATAAATCAATTGGTGTAATATAGCCAGCTGCCGCGGTGCTGCGTGCCTGCGAAACTGGTGTGTTACGCCAAAGGGTGGTTATACCGGCTATGCAGATACAGATACAGAATATAGCACCAGGCATAGGTACTAGTGCTGAGGTTTTAGTGCAGGTCCAGACATGTACGGAATATGGTAACCTGTGGTGTCCAATAATGGCAGAAGCATGAAATGTAGTACATGCGTATTCTAATCATTTTCCAGTGATCAAGTTTCATCTTTCAAGTTCTTGAGCCGAACCCAAACTTATCCTTCATATTACATGAATGAATTTGCAAACATTGTACGTTGAATATGGTGGAAGACAAAACGCATTTTATCTCAAATTGTACCCTCTATAGCAATTAACAAAATGAACTCTTTGACGTAGCCTCCAAATTCTACCCAAACTTTCACACATAATATACAAATGAAAACTACTCTCCTCTTAACATCCAAAAAACTACAAATTACAGAAAAAGGGATCCTTTGTCTTCCTCTGTCTTCAAAAAAGAAGTCAAACCCAGTAGTTTTTACTAGTAGTTTCTTAGTAGTTATCAGTAGTTCTATGTGTACTAATTATCTGTTTTTATACCATATGTTTCTTCTGTTCCTGCAATTAGCCCTCGGGCATGAATTTGCAATAAAACTTGGTGTATTATCCATTGGGATTAGAAATATAGTCTTAAGCAAGAAACATAGACCAAGTCCTACAGTTAAATCTACTGTGTCCAGTCATTTGTTTGTTTATTTCTCAGTGGTGAGGTGAAGAGACGTCGAGTTCAGCAGGACGATGACGTCCCCAGGGGCGTGTCCAAGAGGGAGGGGAACGTCATCCGCTTCTCACCCAATCAGGACCCAGATGACGACCAGAACACCTACAACGGCAACTCCACTCAGCAGATGTGATTCTCACTGCTGTCAATCATGTTTAGATCCCGCCCACTCAATCAAGTTTTGGCCCCACTCATGTGTCAATCAAGTTTAAGCTCCACCAATCATAGAGCAAGATTGGGATGTCATGATGTAGAAAAAAAAGTTGACCTGCTTTTGCTTGTTAAGACTTCAAAAGGGCTTTGTAAGGTGAACTTTTATCAATACCAAGAAAAAGTATTTTATTCAAGGTCATGTTGAAAGCAATTCCTACAAGCTCCATTTACATGAAGGGGTAAAGTTATACCTAACTTAATGCTGTTTAAAATGTTACTTAGATATATCAAGGCTGTGAAAAGTTTTCTAGGAAAGTTTAAGCTGAAAATACAACATGTAAATGACTGATAACAATGAAACTGTGGATATGACTGGAAATTCTACTGGTGGGTGTATTTGTCACCATACAAATGTATAACTGTTAACTGATTCAAGTTTGGAGTAAATTTTGTAGAGGGAGGGGAAAGAAGGCATTGGCATTGACCCTGTTTTATGTTTGCAGTTGAAGCAAGCATACAGTAGTGCAATACATGACAACAGAACATGCAGTCATGTTGAGTTCACAGTGACAGTAAACTGAAAAACAAAAACACAAAACAAGCAGAAATGTTTCATGCTTTACAGTACCTCTCACAAAAACGCTGAAATAGATAATCAACCATAAGGAAAGACTTTCCATCAAACAGGAATTTAAAGTTTCTGAACCGAAAGTTGCAAGAGGAGTTGTTTGGTAATAATCCATTGAAACATACCCATATTGATTAAATACATTCAGGGTTCTCACCAGGATTTTTTCATAGCATAGGGGTCAGGTGCAGAAGGGCAACTTTCGTGGCACAAGTCCTGCATTGAGCGGAAAAAATTTGAAACTCACAACCTCCTGAGACACTATTTCTTGCTTATTGAGGGTCAGATTTTGTGAAGTTTAGGTTTTCCCTTTGCTAAAGCATCATTTTAAAGTTATATTTTCATTTTCTGCAAGATTCATGAAGGTTCTGATCTCCCAAAAAAAACAGGCCCAAATCACAGCATAGGGGGCCCAAATCACAGCATAGGGGGCCCAAATCACAGCATAGGGGGCCCAAATCACAGCATAGGGGGCCCAAATCACAGCATAGGGGGCCCAAATCACAGCATAGGGGGCCCAAATCACAGCATAGGGGGCCCCTATGTTCAAAAGGCCTGGGGAGAACACTGACATTTTCTCTGACTTTTCTGGATATGAAACATTTGCACATGTTACATTTTTTTTTTGCACAATACCGAGGAAGTTACTATTCCTCAGTTAAAAACTAAATCACTACATCACTAGATGATGCTACAATCATATTACATCCATCATCTAGATAATTGGTGTCAGTTGTACAACAGACTGTATATTACAGTCAACACTTTGTTAGATTGGATTGCTTATTTTAAGTTGTTTTGTTGCAGAATTGTCCTTTGCAATTTAAAACTCAAAATGATTGAACACAAATTTTATGAGAAGTGATCTCATTAACCCTTTCACCAATGCAATCTGGTGTTGATAAATTTGATTTGAAGATGAATTGTAAACTAAGGTAAAATCTCACCAGTAATACTACATGTAAGTAGGTTTTTAAGCCCTCATAACATATTATCAGGACTTTAATGACCACAGCACTAATCATATTCTGTTAATATTATCAGAAAATATTTCTTTTAAATATTTTGGTGTTAGAAAACTGCTATTCTTACTAAATGTGAATATAAGAAGGGTCTACATACATAAATGTATGAATTACAGCAAAAGCACAGTTACTAGATCTTGTTAAGTTATACCTCAAATTGTGATTAAATATGGAAAGTAAAATAAAAGTTCATTTGCTGGTTCCTTTAACTTAAAGTAAGCCTCTAAATAAAAGATATGAGAATAAAGCATTTATTACAAAGCATTTTTTGGTAGTTACTGAACTACTGTTATACAGTTAATGATCAGCCATAATTTGGTGGTCTCTCAGGCCACACCAATTTAATTTCTTGGTGAACAGATTTTTCTAGAAAAATAATGGAGCGGGCGGGCGAAAACAAAAGATAAAAACAGGCCTAATTATACTATTATGGCCCAAAATGGTACGATAGTAGCCATTAAGTCAACACACCATGCCGGTTCAAAATTTAAACAATTGTTCAGTTCAGAATCAACTCAAAAATATGAGCATTTTTCAGTTGATTCTGAGCCAGAATCCTTTTTTTTTTTTTTGCAAATCAGAAAAATGAAGCGGTCGAATCCGTTAACCAAGGAATTAAATTGGTGTGGCCTTAATGTACATTATTGTTTGTGTGAGTACAGCATGACTCGATCGTCCTCAGTACAAGATGGGATCGTCCGATGACCTTCAGGAGATTCATAGGTCAAGGTTTGTTGACAATGTGCTGGTGGGCAGGGTCCACCATATCCAGTCAGCATAGGTTTCTGTACAAAAACGTATATTCAATGCTTCGAACTACACTTATCATGAATTTCAATCTCCGAAAGCTCCCATACATTGGATAGCTAAATATGACTACTCGCCGTTTGTGCTATCAGCTGGTGAATGAAAACAAGCACTGACCTTTGAACCTCCAGCTTGGAATCGTCTGCTTCAGGGGGTGTGACATGGCCCGATAAGATGTAACATAACATCACTAAACAACACTGAGGTCACAAGTTCTGTCTAGATTTCAAACGTAAACACACCTCGTGTCTACTCGGCAGAAAACTGGCAAAATTTATCCAGAATTGGCCTCAGGAAAAATTCTATGAAATAAATAACAGAAAATAATCGCCTCTCTGCGCAAGTTCGATTTCCTGGCCCCTCCCCTTGTGGGGACTGCTTTCTCAAGTTGTGCTTTACTTTCTGTAAGTACTCACGTTACATGTTTATTTTCCCATTAACTGGTAAAACTGTAAACTGTAAACTATCTTGGCAACACCATGTAAAATCCACTGTGTCAAAAAGGTGTACATTAGACTACATTATCTCCAGCTACTGACTATAACACAAGGCGATGGGCGTTGATGACCTTGTTCAGATCTAACGTTAAATATAGTCACTCATCCGACCCATTCTCGAATACGGACACGTCCTGTTAGTAGGCTGCAGTATCCGTCAATAGCATCTAAATGTCAATTTTCATGTTGACATCATTTCAGTTGGACTATGCAGAAAATATGTTGTGTTATATTTCCAGGACTCGAAATTCTTTTTGGGAATAGGTGCACTGGTGCACCCAACCTAAAAAATTAGGTGCACAAATTTTTTTGGGGTGCACCATATAAAACAATACCTAATTATAGATCTTACTGCTCCTCTTCTGAGCTTGAATCCAAATTGGGAGCTAACTTCAAAATCTTAAACAAGTAACAGTTACTACGACAAAGATTTTATTATTTTTTCTGATACCTAGACCAAGAATATTCCGTATACTGTTATAAATTTCACATGTTGAAAATTCCTACACAAAAAAATTGGGTGCACCCACAGAAAAAAAAATATTGGTGCACTAAGGTGCACATGCACCCAGTATTTCGAGCCCTGATTTCAATCCCTGAGGCCACATACTAGGTAGTGCACTACACGAAGAACGCCCTGTCAAGACCAAAATGGTTCAGAAGTGACGATATAAAGTTACATATGTGTAAAGACAATATACTAGAGAAAAGCAGTCTCGTGGAAATCACAGGCATTATATTTCTTTTTCTTGATGAAACACGATTTCTTTCGTTGAAAAGCAGATTTTGTGAGTACATTGTATGTGTGGGGAGTAAGGATCAAAGTACGTATTTGTTTACGGACAGCTAATAAAGCGGCAGTCGGACAAGGGTCAGGGCGAAACCCACACCGCCTGATGTAACGACAGTGAACCTTAACCCGACATAACCGTCACTTTTCAACACTCCTCTGTCTGTTAGGAGCTAACTGTGATATGTAAACTCTTTTATTTGCTTAACAAACTTGATGGGGTTATGTCATGTTTAGTGACTGGTACTATAGTACAGATACCTTACACATACCTGGAGGAAGAGGGAGGGATGGCGATGAGTTGTTTCATTCGACTTTTAATTCTGTAACTTGCAGTTCGATTTGTCACGAAAAATGAATCGAAATAAATAAATAGATAAACAAGAATTCGAAGATCTCATACCTCCATGAAATATGAGTTTTTGTAAATGTTTTAATTTGTCTCATTGACTATGAAAATAATGTCGTAATTAGCATAATCTACGCATAATTTTAGTTTTCTAAATTAAAATTACAATATTTTTCGTGTAAAATTTCTCTCCTTTGTCATACTTCATTTCAACATGCAAATTACCTCTACATTAACGTAATATATGCATAGTGGTGTTAACCTTCAAGTAACTTACACATGTCACAAGGTATAAAATTCCCATCATTCACGAAAAAAATAATATTAGGTCATAATTTGCATAATTGGTATCTGTTGATGTTCTGCCTGCCACAGATTAAATAGATCACATGTATAAAAGTACTAGTACATAAAACACTGTAGTTATAGAATTTCTTTCTTAATTATGCAAATTAGGTCCTCAGTTACATAATTATGTACAACTCTCTCTCTCTCAACTACCTACATACCAAAAATGATGAAATATCTTGACTTAGTGGCCTCTAAAGATTTCGCCAGAAAGTCCCCTGCAGTTCCAGGACAAGCTGTTAGGGGGACCAAACCCACGACCCTTATTCATGACAGGAAAAGCTATCTGTCACCACAAAGTCAAGACCATAGCATGTTCAGGACAAAAGTTACAGGAGGCCCATATTTGACCTTGACCTTTGTCTTCCCAAGGCTTACCAGCATACCAAATATCATCACGATCCATAAAGGCGTTATGAAGTTATGCTGACTACAAATGTGCGGAAACACACACAGACAGACACACACACTCAGACAAAAACCAAAAACAGCCAAAAACAATACCACTATTTTTCATGGAGGTAGTAAGCTGTATGTTGGTTAATTTGTACACAAAATTGGTTACCCCACTTATGCCCCGATTCACACCCCCTAGCAATAGTCCAGACGCTCTCTAAAGTTAATGTTTCTTGAGGAACTAAAAATTAACTACGTTACATTCTTTGTAATAAGTCTTCCTTTCAGAGACCTTTTTAGAGAAACTATGAAGGTCGTGGTGCTTGGTGCGGGAATTGTGGGATTGACATCTGCCCTGCGTATCGTGGAGGATTGTGGGACGGCAGAGTTGGACCTGACTGTCATGGCGGACAAGTTCTCCCCGAACACCACCAGTGACGTCGCTGCCGGGATTTGGTGCCCGCCGAGAAGGAAAATGACACAAAGAGAAATGTAAAAAAAAAAACGATATGTGTGTATTTTAATCAAGGAATCCTAAGATTAAAAACTTATCTTCCTACTCATGAATAGAAATAATTGATTCCAAACTTTATTATTAAAAAAACTCCTTGTACTAACATAACGTCTGCTGGAGAACATTTTAAGCTGTAAAACATTTAGATTCTGGCTATTTTATAAACAAATGATAACAGAGCAGCAAACTGACAACATCTATGAAATAGTTCATCTTGTCTGTACGAATGTTGAATGTTTTTCTAACGAACATTAAATCATGTATCGTATTTCATACCTTGCAATATAAATAATGTAGATATATAAGACCTAATGTACATTGCGTCATATTTTCTCTCTTCTACAGGCAGTGGTTGAAGTGGTCCCATGAGTACTTAACCGTTCTGTTGAAGACCCCGTATGCTCATGAGATAGGGGTGTTCCTTCAGTCAGGGTGGATCGCATGGATGCACACTGATTTCCAGGTGGGTATTTTTGGCGACGCCTCAGGGGGGAGCCTAATGGTACAGTATTGTGTGCAGTTTGCAAGAATTCTAGGAATTGCACAGGCATTTTTTTTCCACAGGAATGGAATGTCTACAGGCATGTCTGGGATTTTGCTGACACACATCTATGCCCACATTCCTATGTAGTGAATTTCCAAGAAACCCTTGGGAGAGGGCCTGCATGCCCTTTTTCGTTAACCGTTATGGGCTATTTTAATTTACCGTTAATCGTTGCCGGCCTGCTCTAATTCAACGTTAAGCGTTATCAGTATATTCCTCGTGAAGCGTTATTGGTCGTTTTAATTCTACGTAAAACGTTATTTGTCACCCTAAATTCAGCGTTAAGCGTTAATGAAGAATTCTTCGTTACGCCTAATTTTGCCTTTCAAACTGCAGGAAAATGCGTCATTGAAGGTTTAGAAATACAAAATTTCCCGGGGGAGAATGCCCCCGACCCCCCGACCCCCCTACATTGCTCACGCCTTTGGCGCTCGGTTCCCTTTGGCTCTAGTCACCAGCTTTCCGTCAATTGCCGGAACTTTGCGGCTTGTGACGGAATTTGTTAAAACTCAATCCGTTAACCTAGGCAGGCAAAATTAACAAAAATCTGAGTTAAAAATATGAAAACCTCTGAAGGACCACCGGAAAATACTCTCAACACCAAGATTTGCCTCTCAAAATGCGGAAAATTGCGTTTTTAAAGGCTTAAAAATCGAAAATTTCACGGAGCCCCCTAGATTGCGAGCACCTTCCAATATCCGATGATGAATGTGGGCGGACGGAAAAAAAAATTCAACCCTGGCTAGAGCCCTGGCCGACTCTGACTCCCCTTAATCCTTAATTTGTGGACGCAGGGCAGGCGGGAAACACAGGGCACAGTAGTGTGAAGTGATTACTTTTTCTTATAAATCCTTATACCAAATCTTGTGCAGCTCGAATAAAAATGCCTGTCAATTCACCGTTAAGCGTTACTGACCTCCTGAATTTACCGTTAAGCGTTATCGGCCCTGCTGAATTTACCGTTAACCGTTACCAGGACCCCCCCATGCAGACCCTCTTGGGACATTGTGAAAATTGTACAGATTCACAACTGAGCAGACACATGCTGATTTACATCCCTGTCCACTCCCATGCAACATTATCTAGCTCATATAGCTATAGCTCCCATGATGTTAATGATGTAAGCAGTAAGTGAGTTTTCTGAATTAGTGTAGAACATCTTCCCCTACGTATCATCGACAGTCTTCAACTCTGCTGCATTTGAACAGGTACTATATCTTTCTCTCTATAATAATTGAGAAGTTTATTGCAAATTCATGCCCGGAGGTTAATTGCCAGTTACAAATATAAAAGAACATTGAAGAACAGTATATAAAATAACTAAAATCCACATAATGAAAGGTAGTTGTCTAAAATTATAGCTACGTCTAAGTCTAAAACTATGTCTGAAGGGTTTGACTTCTCTTTTATAACTGTAGAAGACACGTGTAACGTTATATCTGTAAGTCTCCTTCTCAGCATTTCCCCAACATGTTCAGGGTCACAATGTGAGTTATCAGAATGCCACAAAGAGGAGTATCCATTATGATCTAATACCGGTATGTCTTTAACACGTTGCAATTAAGTTTGTCTACGGGTATTTGTAGGCTTTGCTGTAAGAGAGAGCATCCGTTTGAAGGGAGTGTGAGGTTGTGTCCATTTGGACCAAGCTATAACCAGAATTTAACTACATTTTGTACTAGTATATCTATATACAAATATCTGTATCTAAAGGAAGTCTACCTAATTCTGCTCTACAGGCGACATTGCTTACTATTTCTAAAATACACCAAGAACATTTTTACAGAATTGGTTGTGTACATTTTCGATAGGTGAGGTCTCATATGTAGTTTAATATAATATTTCTTGTGGACATCAGATATTGACGTTCAACTTAATAGGTTGTTAACGTTAGGTAAGCATAACCAAATCCTTCGACTAGATCAATTTTGTTATAGGACAATTATTCCCCGGGTAATCATTCTCAATGGCAGATTATTCCTGTACATTTAATAGTCCTTTATAACAGACTTACGTTTCACCTAAAATTAAATCACACAAATCTATCACAGTTCCGACAACAGAGGAAGATTTTTTACCTTTTACGATCGACACAGGTGTCCTATAGGGCTCTTTTTATTCATAAATACATTGGATGTTGTATTACCTTCTAAGGATTGCCAGGCCGTAAGAAGGACGTGGAAGGTCCCCATTTGGACAACCACACAGAACTGAAAACTAGCCCTTGTAGTGGTGAAACAGACCGCCGTGTTTCCCTGATGGGATCGGAAAACACCTCTAAGCTGACCCGCTGAGACTGGTTACCAGGCTTATAATCGCTGAACTCAGGCCGCAAATCTGTACCTCCCTGTGATGACTGCCTCAAACCAAGCCAAAGTGATCTCTCTTTCCAGCCGACAATCAGTCTGCTTTTCTCACATACCTACAATCATACCCACATTCCTTTCCCACATGCCTTTCAAGTGTATGTCCTACATTCTGACATTCTGGTCCACATTCCAGGATTCTCCACATGCCTTTCAAATGTCCTACATTCTGACATTCTGGTCCACATTCCAGGATTCCCCACATGCCTTTCAAGTGTATGTCCTACATTCTGGACCACATTCCTACGTAGTGAAATTCCAGGAAACCCTTGGGACATTATGGAAATTGTACAGATTCACAACTGAGCAGACACATGCTGATTTACATCCCTGTCCACTCCCATGCAATATTATCTAGCTCATATAGCTATAGCTCCCATGATGTTAATGATGTAAGCAGTAAGTGAGTTTTCTGAATTAGTGTAGAACATCTTCCCCTACGTATCATCGACAGTCTTCAACTCTGCTGCATTTGAACAGGTACTATATCTTTCTCTCTATAATAATTGAGAAGTTTATTGCAAATTCATGCCCGGAGGTTAATTGCCAGTTACAAACATAAAAGAACATTGAAGAACAGTATATAAAATAACTAAAATCCACATAATGAAAGGTAGTTGTCTACTAAAATTATAGCTACGTCTAAGTCTAAAACTATGTCTGAAGGGTTTGACTTCTCTTTTATAACTGTAGAAGACATGTGTAATGTTATATCTGTAAGTCTCCTTCTCAGCATTTCCCCAACATGTTCAGGGTCACAATGTGAGTTATCAGAATGCCACAAAGAGGAGTATCCATTATGATCTAATACCGGTATGTCTTTAACACGTTTGCAATTAAGTTGTCTACGGGTATTTGTAGGCTTTGCTGTAAGAGGAGAGCATCCATTTGAAGGGAGTGTGAGGTTGTGCCCATTTGGACCAAGCATCTACCTAATTCTGCTCTACAGGCGACATTGCTTACTATTTCTAAATACACCAAGAACATTTTTACAGAATTGGTTGTGTACATTTTCGATAGGTGAGGTCTCATATGTAGTTTAATATAATATTTCTTGTGGACATCAGATATTGACGTTCAACTTGATGGGTTGTTAACGTTAGGTAAGCATAACCAAATCCTTCGACTAGATCAATTTTGTTATAGGACAATTATTCCCCGGGTAATCATTCTCAATGGCAGATTATTTCCTGTACATTTAATAGTCCTTTATAACAGACTTACGTTTCACCTAAAATTAAAATCACACAAATCTATCACAGTTCCGACAACAGAGGAAGATTTTTACTTTTTACGATCGACACAGGTGTCCTATAGGGCTCTTTTTATTCATAAATACATTGGATGTTGTATTACCTTCTAAGGATTGCCAGGCCGTAAGAAGCACGTGGAAGTTCCCCATTTGGACAACCACACAGAACTGAAAACTAGCCCTTGTAGTGGTGAAACAGACCGCCGTGTTTCCCTGATGGGATCGGAAAACACCTAAGCTGACCCGCTGAGACTGGTTACCAGGCTTATAATCTCTGAACTCAGGCCGCAAATCTGTACCTCCCTGTGATGACTGCCTCAAACCAAGCCAAAGTGATCTCTCTTCTCAGCCGACAATCAGTCTGTCTTTCTCACATACCTACAATCATACCCACATTCCCTTTCCACATGCCTTTCAAGTGTATGTCCTACATTCTGACATTCTGGTCCACATTCCAGGATTCTCCACATGCCTTTCAAATGTCCTACATTCTGACATTCTGGTCCACATTCCAGGATTCCCCACATGCCTTTCAAGTGTATGTCCTACATTCTGGACCACTTTCCTACGAAGTGAAATTCCAGGAAACCCTTGCGACATTGTGGAAATTGAACAGATCACAACTGAGCAGACACATGCTGATTCATATTCCTGTTCATGCCCCGGCCCGGAGGCTAATTGCCAGTTACAAGCATAAAAGAAGAGCAGTGTATAAAATAACTAAAATCTACAAATGAAAGGTATTTGTCTAAAATTATAGCTATGTCTAAAACTATGTCTGAAGGGTTTGACTTCTCTCTTGTAAAGACTTGTAAACTGAAGAAGACATGTGTATATCTGTAAGTCAGAGTCTTTCTCAGCATTTCCCCCAACATGTTCAGGGTCACAATGTTGATTCGGAATGCCACAAAGAGGAGTATCCATTGTGATCTAATACCGGTTGTCTTTAAGTTTAACACGTTGCAGTAAAGTTAGTCTACGGGTATTTGTTGGAAGGCTTTGCTGTAAGAGGAGAGCATCCATTTGAAGGGAGTGTGAGGTTGTGCCCATTTGGACCAAGCATCTACCTAATTCTGCTCTACAGGCGACATTGCTACTATTTCTAAATAGATAAAATAAGAATTCTAGGAATTGTACAGGCATTTTTGTCCACAGGCAAGCGGATTCCTGTCCACAGGTATGCGGAATGTCCACAGGCATTTCTCTGACCCACATCTATGCCCGCATTCCTGGAACCCTGAAGACCTGCCTGCCCCAGATGGTCATACTTTCTGTGACCCCGGGGCTCGTTCACTATGCACTCAGGGGAGGAGTGTACTGTATCTGTCTAGAAAAAAATCATGAAATGATGGCAGTGCCATGCAAACAATAACCCTAACAGCAACAACCGTCGCCATGGCAATGTATGTTTTCATTGCCAGTCTTGTTTAACGGTGTCGCTCAATGCAAGGCCAATTATTTTGGCCACTTCTAGGCATAGAGCTAGAGGTACTTAAGTGAGTATAATGTAGTTATGTCAGGAGATGGCGGTGGACCTTTGTTTTGAAGCTTTGTGGATTGTAGTCGGACGGAAAGCAACTGTTTGGAAGAGAGTTCCATAATTTTGCAATCCGGGGAAAGAAGCTGTTGTTGTAAAATGACTTGGAGACAGGTATGTTGACGGTGTATTGATGAGAAGAGAACCTAGTGGCACGCTGAAAGGTTCTGAGCGGCGGAAAAAGAAGTGCAGCACTGCAAGATCTCCTGAACATCGACCGTGAATATGGAATCTTCTTCATATTGAACTTTATTGACACAACAAAAGTACAGCGACTTTCGTAAGGTCTAAGACATGTAGATATACAGACAAATACATGGGTACAACGAAATTAAGTTACGTACAAAACAATAGATGAGTCAACTAATACTACTTGTTCTAAGGTCTAAACATTCTTTGATACTTTTACCTATTTGTACACAGTAAGGGTTATTACCTTCTAGGATGAAATTGAATTTATCTATAGCATGAAAAAGTTCATACGAAATGGTCGATGAATAAATGAATGAATAACCTTTGTTTAGACTGGATAGCCCTGTACATGTTGGCCTAACAAGATGGCCGCTCTTCAGAAGTTCAGTTTGGGCGAACCTCATATTCTTTGTCTTTTTTCCAGCAGAAAGAAATTTGCCTTCTATATGAAGAAAGCGCTATATAGAAATCGCAAAAAGGAATAGGGGCGCTAACGTTTGTTACCAATTTCCCTGGGTTGCCCACGGCTATCTTAACTGTAGGATCCTGATTGGAAGGACCTCGTGCAAGGATACCGTCATCCAACCAAATGGGAGCTAACTCATCTGTTTCCGGAGTACAAGTACGTCACAGCAGTTTTCATTGGTTTGTTTTTCAGTCTTTACGTCATGGGACGGAAGTATTGTTTTGAATGGCTGACGATGATGTGTTTGTGTGTGTGTGCATCGTTAGCTGTACCTGTGTATCACTCGTGCTATAAGCAATTGATTTAATTATGAATAATACAGTTTTTTCTTGATATTTATAGGGATGGATTCTTCTGCACGACCTTTATGTTGGAGAGTAGGCTTTTCCTCCCTTGGGTCACCAACAGGTTTGTAACTAGACAGGCCGACATTTGCGGGCAAATACAGCATGTTACTCCATCTCTCTCTCCATGCAAGAATAGACTGATCTATATTGATATTATGCACGAAAAGACAGTCCTAAAGCTATTTTACCTCTAAATGGACGATACATCATCACCTTACTTCCAAATAATTTTTTCTGCATTTTCCCGCTTGCCTCATGCATGAATGGACTGTTACATAAACACCCCATACAAAATGGACTCTTCGAAATTAATCCATCACCATCTCTAGTGCAACAGCATAGTGTGTGGTATGAAGCAAAATATGGTTATTTCTTGAGATAGTTTATCGCCACACCATTCATCAGCTGTACGTTTTTATGTTCAATTTGCTGTACTTGTAATTTGTAATAGTTTAATGCTTCTTATTTGCAGATTGAGGAACAAAGCGGTCAAGTTTGTAGAGCGAAAAGTCCAGTCATTAGATGAGGTATGTCTGTATGCCATGTATACAGTATGGACAGTGCGCATAATACTAGAATTTATTATAGCTCTATCCATTTGTACATATTTCAATTAAGACATTTAAAGATGGCATTAAGATTACATCACAGCAGAGTGATCATCATTCAATATTCAGTACTTAATACCACATAGCTAATGGCTTAGTGAAGTCCTTTATATATAATATTATGTAGTCAATGGTGACGTTTTACATACTACTATTACTAACACTATAACGTATTTTCGGCTCAAGTTGTCTTTGGACTATGACGTCATCATCAACTGTACAGGCGTTGGAGCGCACGACCTGGTGGGCGATACCAAAGTCTTCCCTGCAAGGGGGCAAGTTATCCGGGTAGGAGAAAATACATATATCGGCAAAGCAACTTTTTCATAGGAAATTGTAGCAAAAAAAAGAAAATGATAAAAATCCTTCCATTTTCGTTAACAACAGAATGTTTGTCTAATTTCTCTATATTAAAAGAAAATTATCAGAACATATTTTGTGTCAAATATTTTTTTTACTTACAGGTGAAGGCTCCGTGGGTGAAACATTGGATGCTCCTGGAGGGAAAACATCCCTACGTTCCGGGGATTCCGTATGTCGTTGGCGGGTAGGTGTACTAGCCGCCTGCACAGACTTTCTGGTGGCCAGTGCTTTTTATACGGGCACGGTATAGCAGTTTGTTTTCGGGGGAAGGGCTGTATCAGGGGATCGGGGCGAGAGCTGTATCGGGCCGCCTGATACAAAAAATGTATAGCCCTTTTCCCGGTGCCCCTCCCCGTATACAGCCCCCCTCCCCTTCCCGAAGCACAGGAGGCTAGGTAAAGCTTCGGGCCAAATTGCGCCGGTGCCCGTCGGGACTGCCGGCAACCGGAGGGGTACCTCTCGGTGTTCTCACGATGAGGTCACGGCGTCTTTGTCAGCGGGGCACGGGTAGAATTTAAGTCAGAATTAAATTCTTCTCGGGTCTCCGCCGGGCCCAAAAATAGCCCGGTAGCCGCAGGGTGTCCCGCGGGGCCACGTACGGGTCACGCCCGAAAGTGCCAAAAACAACCCGGGGACTACCCGGCAGGGCCCCTTTTTTCAATTGGGACCGAAGCATAAGTCAAGCACACTAGACAACAGCCTAACGGTAGCAATTAACTATTGGTTGAAATTTGTCATATCATGTTGGTTAAATCCTGTTTTAACTAACGTTATTACGTCACAGATCTACCGCTACCCTGATTGGTGGAATCCGACAGGAAAGACGGTGGGACTTACGTAATGACCCACGTGACACCAAAACGATTTGGAACGGCGTTACGACTGCATTCCCCGCACTCAAGGTAGGAAATACCAACAAGATAGCGAATTGACAGTTTCAGTTTTAAACACGGTGAAACCTCTGGTGTAGTTCACGAAATCTACATAAATATACGTATCTGTGTCATAGCCGGTATAACCGCCCTTCGGCGTAACACACCAGCGTCGCAGGCACGCGGCGCGGCGGCAGCTAGCTTTATTACACCGAACGACTTGTTACACTCAATCTTTGCACATTAGATTGCAGGAGTTGTTTAAAGCTTTCTAGTGATGATGCCCCAACTGTGTTTGGTGGTAACGAGTTCCAGTCTACGATAGTTCTGGGAAAATACGAGTTTTTAATACCTCAATTCTTGGTTGATAACTCTGATATTTGAATTCGAAGGCATGACTGTTTCTCGTTCTTTTCTGGGCTGGTATCAGATACTTAGTGGTTGGTACGTCCACCAGTTTATTAGTCATTTTGTACATCATGCACAGTCTGGACATTCTACGTCTGTCTTCCAGCGACCCCCACTGTAGGTTTCTTTTCATTTCCGTTACACTAAAACTACGAGTTTTTGAACACCTCAATTCTTGGTTGATACGTAAATCTACATGTAATACAGGATGCAAAAGTGATAGAAGAGAGGACTGGTCTGAGGCCGATGAGGGAGGAGATCAGACTGGAGAGACAGGAGAAAACGGATCCCGTATCAGGGAGAACTGTTCAGGTTTGTACGAATCGAGTTAAATCTTCTCACACCTTTCTATAGTCCTAATGGGCCACATGTAACTTTGTTATATAATGTAAAATTTTATGATTAAGAGATATCGATGTTTCGTATGTTTCAAGAATGACTAGCTAATAGTAACGTTACGTAAAATCACACTGACTGTAAATATCTACGCAATTCAGACTCTGTAAGTCTGCAATGTGGTATTCGCAATTAAGATTTCAAAGGTTTTAAAATTGTGCAAGCACTTAAGCAGGTGGTACTGGAAGTACACGTGCTTTATTTTCATTTCTATTTGCTTAAGTCCTGAGTGTTCGGCAGAAAACCCAATATCTACTGCAGCAGCCATGAATTGTGTAGGGTCTAGAAAACCTATCAATATCTCATGCTATCTTGAAAGTTCATCTGTGTTGGTGGAAGTCATTATGCAGCAAGTTTAAACTGTAATTTCCAACACAAGAAATTGGACTCACCCAAATTTTTGACTGTACATTCCTTGATAAAAGACTAGAGCGGAAATTTGGGTGATTTCTTGTGTTGGAAATTAAAGTTTAAACTTGCTGCATAATATCTCATGCTGATGTAAAATCTTGATTTAGATCTTATTGAATATTTTCCCATAATTTTAGGTTATCCACAATTACGGCCATGGGGCCAATGGTATCACCTGGTCCCACGGATGTGCTAAAGAGGTGGCGCTCATGGTGAAACAACTTCTGCAGGAGAAGACTATCAAATCCCGTCTCTGAGTCCAAAGTACGGTAATCTGACCTCTGTAAATAATTTTGTCAGGTAATTATTTGGCAGTACTGAAAGAATGTTAAATAACTGATATCCATACATAATATTTGACGACAATAAATACTGTAATTTATATTCTCAAATCATAGTGATAGTAGGTGACCCTGTATATTTTGATCTGTACTCTAGATCTATATGAACAATGGCATAAATAAATAAGGAAATTCAACCATACATATAAGAGACGTAAAATGTCAAAACAAAAGATATTCAATTCCTATATGTCGTGAAAAATTTATCATATAATTGCCAAAGTTCGTAGTTTTGTTTCCACGGATTCTAAAAAGATAGAAGCTATATAGATGTACACTAGTATATGGTGTTGTAATTAATTTTAGATGTATTTTACATCATTGTGGTCACTTTTTTATTTAGCCCTTTGGGGCAAGAATATGCATGAACATGATCTATCTGTTCCTCTGCTCTTCACTATGTGCAATTTAGGTAGTACTTAATGGAATGTAAGGATTTATAACATTACAAGCAAAACACCAGGCCCAAAGTTTTACACTCACACACAAGCATTTATTATATCTCATAATGCTATAATTTTGCATGCATTCTGACACAGATGACAATTTCCATTTTAAATCAATTTTTGGTACCGATATTGAATTGTATCATCATTCTTTAATCATACGATTACGACTGCGCACGTTTATCTAATAAATACCTTTCAAGTTTCTAAATGTAGCAGCATGCATTGCACTCCACTTGTTTACGAAAGAACAAAGTTAAGGAATCATGCAATTAATAACTACCACCTATCTAGTCCTTTGACCAGTCCAGAGTTATTATATTAGTGAACACCAAATCTCCGGATCCTAGATGACGAATCCCACCAGTTTTAATTCTATTTTCTGGATGTAACGTTGAAAGGTTAAAATTATCAGATATACATGTAAAGATCAATTGCTTTCTAAGTCATCGTTTCGACTAATTGTATGTTATACTCTCGGGTACTGGTTACCTTGATATTGAGAATAATTCCAACAACAGTTTAACCATTGAGTGGTTTTTGGATTCAAAAATAGATTTTCATATTCTAGATGGAATTTACTTGTACATGTATCATAGACACAAAATGTCAGTGAGAAAATTAAGTACTTATCACTACTGATGACCCTGTGTATGGAATGTATAACGTTTGACGTGCGATATTTCTATTACATCGTATTATTATGTTACTCAGTATGATGTACATGTAACATCACACTCTGATGTATGCATTTAGCCCCATGGGCATGAACATGCAAATAAAGGTTCATTCATTTTGAAACATTTGGCTGGCGCAGCCGAATATTAACCGACCTCGCCGAACGCCAGCCGACTTTGCGCCGACCTACTGTTCACCATAGTTGGGGGAGTTTGGCTAGTGTTCGGGAGGCCAAATTCATTAACATACATCCACACAAACAAATGCTACTAAAACATTACGTAGGCAATGGTACATGTAATAGGCAACTGCAGTTTACGCAAATACTGATAGAGGGCATATATGACTGGTACTATAGCTATTTATGAAGCTTTGCCGTATGGTCTATGTATGGGTTCGCGTTGGAGTAGTCTATACAGAGAAGATATTTCTTCTACTGAAACAGTCGAAGACACCTACTACATGTATATCCATTTTTTATATTTCAGTGAAATGTATTGTTATATTTCAGTCCATACCATGGTATGGATTAAATATATTGTGTTCTCTCATGTTTCTTCTTCTCCTGCCAAACAGTCGAAGGGATTCAACTCAGCCATCATTCAGCCAAATGACTTGAAATTTTGCATGGAGGTAGAGTGGGCCAATACCCCCATGCTTTTTTTTTCATTTTTTTTTATACATGCCTTTGAAAAAATTTAAAGAAGGTTTTTTGGGGGCATTTTTCGACAAAAAAAATGAATTTTTGGATCCTGAGCCCTGGTATTACAACAAAATGATCTGAAATTCGGTATAAGGGTACCTTGAAAATGTGTGCACAGAATAGCAGACACATATTTGGCATACACTACTTCCAAATGACTCATTTGGGGGACTTTAATGGCTATTTCAGGCCAAAAAAGGCCAAAAGTGCTGTACCCGTTCCACGTTCTATCTAAAGAATGGCCCGTTCCATCTGCCGTTGGCCACGGAACACGTGTTCCATTGCGGGTTACCTGAGCTCACATTGCACGTAAGTCGTGCGGAATGACCCACACATTCAATTTATGTGCCTAAGACCTTCAAAATGTATCAAATCTCATCATTGTTAGTATTTGCATACCTGTAATAAGATTAGTAAAGCTTTCGAGATTCAAAGTGCTTGTTCTTGCATCTTTGTTCTCAATTACATAGCTACTATTTAATTCATTTATTTGAGAACCTTTGCCAGTTTTGCACTGGGGTAAGTTTGGAATAGTCCACTTTTGCGTGGGAGGGAGATATGCTGTATATCCTGTATTTGCTCCCAAGCAAATGTCGGCCTTTTTTTTTTTTCCTTTCATGGTCCTGTCCATGAACTTTATTTACAAACTGTACAAACTTTTATATACAATACAATGTAATAGATATATGTTACATTATCAGGGGAATTAAGTTACCCCACTTTCTTTTTGCGTTTGTATCTGATATGTTATATTCTATGCATAGTATGTTTTTAAGATCTTTGTAAAATATTGAAAAGCAATTTATTTTATCAAAACATTCGTTCTCTTTATACACGATCCAGGACTTAAATATGGCGTACAGGGCTAATGCAATCATGTGATTGCCTCCTTTGTACATTTTCTCAGTAATTGGTATTCCCATTATGGGAATACAAGTTTCAAAATCAAGGTCAATCTTGACTAATACATTTAATAGTTTCTTGAACCTTTCCCAGAAGTGGCCCAATCTTATACAGTTGATAAACATGTGTTTTTCATCCTCTACTACTTTACAAATGTGGCACAATGGGGATGGTATTATTTTCCACCTATGTAAATTTTTGTTATTTGGAAGTATTCGATGGAGCAACTTAAACATGAAGTTTGATAATTTTCTTTCTGTTGTTAAATGTATAGTCATATCAATCCATGGAAGTTCAAAAGTTTGATAATTCTTATCAAAAATGACAGCCCATTTTTGTTCACTCTGTGGTTTGTCGATTTTATCGATAATTAGCATACTGTATAAGTATTTACATGTGTAGTTTGTGTATTTTAATCTTTGTTCTGTGCATTCTGTTGTTTGACATTGGGTGTCGTTCAGTAGTGCTAACCATCTTTTCGGAATTGCATTTTTAACGGTGTACATGTCGGCCTTTCTAGGTTTTTTTTTTTTTTTTTTTTTAGCCACAAAGTTACATGTCACCACTGTGTCAGTTTGCAATGCGCCTTGCGCCTACAAGCAATTCAAACAATATATGGATATACATATTTACTTCAAATACAATCTAGAGTGAAAAGAGGATACAAAACAATGTTTGTCCCTCATGTACTCAATACCTGTATTTGTATCTGTATAATGATTTAGGTACAGCAAAAAACAGTTATTCAAGCAACTGGATATGCTTTTGGAAACGGTCAGACGTTTCAAGTATCATCCACTACCTTTTTTGGCGTATCTTATTAAGTGGATTTCTAACCCTCACTGACGTATTTAGGGTACAGGTTTGGACCTGAACATCTGGAGAATCATTTAGTGCACTAAGATTGGTAAATTTCATCTTAAGACAACAATTTTGACAATCTACGCATTACAATGAATGAATGAGGCTACCCGCGCCCAGCCAGTGCATGTGAGCTTATCAAATACCACAGCAGTTGATAATACAATGTGTATGGTACATAAACAAAAGAGAATCACTCGTGCAGAGATAACAAAATCAACCATCAAGTGAAAACAATTTAGGCTTTAAGGAAGCACCACGTGACGTGGGAAGATAGATACAGTGTTTGTATATGGGCTAGTCACCACCAAATCTCCACATGGTCCCATAGCGACAGCCTCCGGGAATGTAATGTCCGCGATGGTGCGGACAAACTCGCCCTGGCTTGTGAACATGTCTACCCGGTCTTTCAAATAGTTCGCCACAATGATGTGACCCGAGGTGTCCAGACAAATACCTCTGGGAGAGTTCCCATTTCCAGAGGTGCCGAATTCAAATATCTTTACTCCGGAGGGATTGTACTTCTGTATGGTTTTAGACCAATCCGTCAGCAGGACATTTCCCTCCTTGTCCGATGTGACTCCAAAGATCCCGTATCCCGTACGCACTTCTGAACTCCAAAGGCGAGATCCGTTTGGATCAAACATCATAATGGTTGTTTGGTCTCCCACGATAACTTTATTGTTGCGCACGTCCATCGCGATGACGGGATAGTGGCTCTTGAGGCTTACGTCAAACTTTTTGATGGGCTGTCCGTTCTTACTGTACTGTACAACATGTCCATTGAAGCGCGAGCTCTTCCCCAGTACCCACAGGTAGCCAGACTCCACGTCGCTAGCAACACCAAGAGGGTGCATTCTCGTACTTTCACCCGGCACAACAGTTGAAAAGAGGCGGAGAAAGGTCCCATTTATGCTGAAGACCTGGACTCGTTTGTTAAGCGCATCAGTCACAAATATCTCATTGTCAGCAGACACGGCTGTTCCCTTGTTCCCCCGGAATTTTCCAGGTTCTTCTCCCTTCCCACCAAACGTGATCCTCTCCTGCTTTACGTCACCACCTTTTGCCGTGAGTGATAAAAAAGTGTTTTTCAAACTAAAATATAAACCATTTACATTTACACACGCCACGCACGCGCACACACTCTGATGCATTTAGCTACTTTTACTCACCATAAGAAATAATCTTGTTCATTGTCCAATCCTGGCATTGCCTCATGACACAGAGGGACCAAGTCTCCATTGAGAGCATTGTCTTCAGAGAAGCAAAGTCTTTAAAACATTTTATAATGACACAGAGGGGCCAAGTTTAAGACATTGTCTAATGGCACAGAGGGACCAAGATTAAGACATTGTCTAATAGCACAGAGGGGCCAAGTTTAAGACACTGTCTAATGACACAGAGGGACCAAGTTTAAGACATTGTCTAATGACACAGAGGGGCCAAGTTTAAGACATTGTCTAATGACACAGAGGGACAAGGTTTAAGACATTGTCTAATGGCACAGAGGGCCAAGATTAAGACATTGTCTAATGACACAGAGGGACAAGGTTTAAGACATTGTCTAATGGCACAGAGGGCCAAGATTAAGACATTGTCTAATGACACAGAGGGACCAAGTTTAAGACATTGTCTAATGACACAGAGGGGCCAAGTTTAAGACATTGTCTAATGACACAGAGGAACAAGGTTTAAGACATTGTCTCTTGAATATTTGTGTTAGACTCACCTTTGTGATGTGGGGTGTTGGAGACTGCCGGGAGCTTGCAATTGGGGATAGATCCAGTAGTAGCAGTAGCAGCAGCAGCAGCAGTAGTAGTAGTAGTAGCAGTAGTAGTGGTAGTAGTACTAGTAGTAGTAGTAGTAGCAGCAGCATCGGTAGTATTTGTAGTTGTATCCGTGACCGCTGTCTGCTGTTAATAGAGGATTACATTGCCATTGCAGGCTGTCGCAATGGGTTCTTGGAGATCATGATAAATTTTCTGAACCCTGTCTGAATTTGATAGCTGCAGGCCAATGTCAACGAATTTTTGCACCAGACTGTATTGGAATAAGTACAACAAGGAATAATTGTCTATTTAAAAAATATCCTGGAATTCTAACCTCGCCGACAAAGCAACAATACGAAAAGGTTAAGCCTTGTTTGTATAAAGCATCTGTTTGTTGTTTTGTGACTTTTTGGCGACGCCTCGAGGGGATCCTAATGGTACAGTATTGTTTGCAGTTTGCAAGAATTCTAGGAATTGTACAGGAATTTTTTCACAGGCATGGAATGTTTACATTTCTGGGTTCGTTCACTGTACACTTAGGGGAGGGTAGGAGTTATTTACTGAACTGCACTATACCTGACAGTGTATAGACTTAACAGGTTACAAGTTACATGTACAAAATGTATACTGCCAGTGATGCCAATTACCCGTATAAAGTATACGGGTAATGTAATAAAGGGATGGTTACCTCAGGAAATGATGAACAAATCGACAAGGCTTTAATAAGACAGAAGCGTACCTGTGGCGGCCTGGCGCTTAAGGATAAGCTGAGAAAGACTCCTGCGACGATGAAACCCCCAAGAACGACAGCCGCTTCTACTGCAAAGATCACTCGGCGACGCGTACAGCCTGAAATATTATCATGTTGGTAGTAATCATA